AGGAGTTTAACCCACCAGGTCCAGTCCTCAAACCACAGTCAACTACATGGAAGTCCAGCGACATAGCCATTACACTAACTGCTGGTCCCAGAAAAAGGTATTTCATGCAAATAGAAACCAAAAAAGAGCTGGAGTCGTGATACTGGGTTCAAATAAAATAGGCTTTAAGGCAAAAACTGTAAGAAGAGACAGAGTAGGGCATTAAATAGTAGTAAAATAGCTAATTAATCAAGAAGATATAATGCTTATAAATATCTATGCAGCCAACTCAGGAGCACCCAAATATCTGAAGGAGAGACTGCTAAATCTAAAAGGCAAGGGAGACTGCAATATACTAATTGTTGGGGATCTCAAAACCCTACTGTCTCCTTTAGACAGATCATTTAGACAAAAAATAAACAAATAGATAAAGGAGCTAAACAATCCCATAAATCAAATACACTTGAAAGATATCTATAGAACCTTCCACCAAAAAACCATGAAATACACATGAAAATCTAAAAAGAGAAATAAAAATGACACGAAAAAGTATAAGGACATCCCATGTTCCTGGATCAGAAGCATTAATATAATCAAAATGCAATTCTACCCAAATTAATCTACATATTTAACACAATCCCAATCAAATTACCAGAAACATTCTTCACGGATCTAGAAGAGACAATCATAGAATTGATCTGAAATCATAAAAGACCCCGTATTGCCCAAGTAATCCTGCATAAGAAGAGTGGAATAGGAGGCATTTCACTCCCTGATCTCAAAATATACTACAAAGCTGTGATAATCAAAACAGCATGGTATTGGCACAAAAACAGACAGGCAGACCAATGGAACAGCTCCCATAAATAACCTCCCAAATATACAGCCAGCTAATTTTTGACAAAAGGCACCACTCAATCCAGTGGGTAAAGGAAAACCTCTTTAGCAAATAGTGCTGGAAAAACTTGATATATTCACTTGTATAAAGATTAATGTGGGCCCCTGTCTCTCACCATTAACAAAAATCAAGTTCAAAGTGGATCAAAAATCTAAAGCTAAGACTTCAAACTATAAAACTACTAGTGGAAAACACTGAGGAAACTCTGGTAGACATCAGAGTAGGCAAAGACTTCTTAAATAAGACCCCCAAGGCACAAGCAATAATTCCAAAAATAGACAAGTAGGATTACATCTTATTAAGAGATTTCTTCACAGTGAATGACCCAGTAATTACTATGAATTGACAACCCTCAGAATGGGGGAATATTTTTGTAAACTATGCCTCAGAGAAGGGACTGGTAATCAGAATACACAGGGAACTCAAGTGACTTACCTGAAAAAAAAAAAAAAGATCTACTTATTTTAAAGATGGGAAACTGAGCTAAACAACTCTAAGGTAGACATGAACAGTCAAAAAGCATGTGAAAAACTGCTCAACATCCCTCATCATAAGGGAGATGCAAATCAAAACCACAATAAGATACCACCTAACTCCAGTCAGAATGACTAAGATTAAAAAAAAAAAATGATAAGTGCTCACGAGGCTATAGTGAAAAGGGTACACTCCTACACTGTTGATGGGAATGTCAATTGTACAGCCCGTGTGGAGAACAATATGGAGGTTCCTCAAAGACTATATGATTCATCAGTTGCATTCCTGGATAACTACCCAAAGGATAAGACTACACTCATTCGGAAAAGTGCTTGCACATCCATATTTGTTGCAGCATTATTCATAATTACTAAGACATGGAACTTCCCCAAATGTCAATGAATAGATGAATGTATTGAAAAAGTGTGGCACATGTACACTATAGAATACTACTCAGCCATAAAAAAAACAATGAGACCCTAGCATGTGATAGAAAGTGGGCTAACATGGAAAGATAGACTGTTAAGTAAATCAAGCCAGATTTTGAAAGAGAGACATTGTATGTCCCCACTCAATATATACCAAATGTCTACACTCTGTAGCAGAAATTGAAAGACTGGAAGATACAAAAGCATGGAGAACAATTGCAGATACTATAGACAGTGTGAGAGGAGAGAGGGAAATGAAGAAGTGTGAGAAAAAGGGAGGAAAAAGAAGAAACAAAACATTTAAGGGCCACAGGAATGGAAAATTATCTGTTGACGATAACATGCATGATAATATCTTTAACTGGACTAATATACAGTGTATTCATGCTAGGAAAATTAATTTTTACAATCTGTAATCATATACAGTGATTGAATGTATTAAAAAATCATTTTGGAAAAGAGTAAAAAAAAAAGAATTTAACCTAAGGAAATGATAGACTAAGTGCATAGAGATGTAGGTATGATGATGTTTATTACAGTGTTGATTATAATATAAAAACAGTCTAAATGTCTGCTTTGAAATTATTTTAGCTATTATAAAAGATAAGTTAATAAAAGAAAGTCA